TCTACTTTGCCTCTCTGGGTCACATGACTTCTAAAAAAAAAAAAAAAAATCATGCCCTCGATGCCCTTTATTTCGGGATGACTCTGGTGTGTGCTCACACTGTAAAATAATCCCGCTTTGATTTGCATGATTTGGAGTTCTTTTGTAGGTGTTAGTGACTGGTTCTGGGAGGGGGATGCTTTGATTACATTGTTTTGACCGCGACTAAATTGTGACAATTTTAATGATCACACGTAAAAAGCACAATGACAGCCTTGGATGAGACGTCACTTGCTTTCTCACCAAAGACAGAAGAAAAAAATAGAAGCAGACCCTCCTCTAGGTGTCAGCACAGTCTCTCAACTCGACCTTGTTCTCATTTCCTAACAATAGTAGCAAAAAAAACGTGATTATTCCTCAGCCCATTACCCATAGCAAATGGGGTTGTGTTCAAGTGCAGTACAACCAAACTCAGCATGCGTTTCAGTGGGTTTTGACGAGACCGATGCAATGTAATGCCTGTATTTTTGCTGCAAGGGGAGAGAGTGTACAGTACGCGTTTGTCACATAACACCTCCATTCAACAGAATTGACTGCTGTCGGGAAAATCTAATGGCAAGTTTAGAATCGGAATTTGGGGGGGAGAAATGGTCCAAGTTGAGCACTTTGCTTTGTTGATAATTCATGTATATTTCGTGATTTTTCTTTTCATTTTAATTTGTAACTGGTATTTGAATTTTTTTTTAATTGAAAAGTAGACAAATATAAGTTTAACTAAATTTGAATATGGTCATTAATAACAAATAAACAGTAGCTATCAATAGTCTGGCCCCCTGTTCAAATGCCAGGTGTTTGTATGTGAAACACAAGACCAAAAATAAATCATTTCAAAACTTCTTCCACCGTGAATGCAACCTTAACCTCAACGACTTCATTGAAAACAAAAATCTTTTTGACACAAAAGGTTAAAATAAACAACTGATGGAATGTGGCTGTCCAAATGTTGCATGCGCTCTCAGAAACCGGGACATGGCTTGTGTTCAAAAAAAAAAATCCCCAACACGTGTGGTGTGGGAAAATGTGTTTTGCTCCAATTAAAAACCAGGGTTGAATTTTCTGGCCATGATTTCAAAAGAGTTGTTTGGCGCAAATACATCAGCAAAACAACATCTAACCTACAGTTGTCACATTTTTAAATTTCCCTTTGTGGATTGGCGTGCGGTTTTCGAAGTCCCCCCCATATTCTCATACACTCCCATAGAATGTGTCCAGCATTGAAACATGCTTGGAATTTTCCAACAGGAATGATAATTAGGTTTTTTTCCAGTTCATTTTGAAATATGCCAAGGAAATGGGTACAAAGCATGCCTTTAAAAAAAATACATAAATAAACACGTGAATGTTTACCTTGATATTGAAAGACATAAACTTAATCAAGTTCCGATCATGAAAACCACGCCACTCCAAACTTTTCTTGAGATAGGCAGCGACTATTTGTGAGGGGAAAGTGAAAAATTAGGAATCTACCACACGGTTCAATTATTTCATTCCGAGAAGAAATTAGAGGCAAATAATAGGAGAACATATCTTTCTTTAGCCGGCCTTTCTGTTGACAAAAATGTGCCTTTTCTTTGTACAAATGACTGGGTGTCCCCCCCCCCCCCTTCAAAGTGCAATATGTGATGTTCAATATGGAGCATGCCTGTTCTCCATTTGTTGAGCTCGTGCTTTGGCCCTGCTGCGTGTTGCTGCTCGACATCTCCCTCCACCCATTATTATTATTATTATTATTATTATGTGCAGTACATGGAGTGTAAATGTAATCTTTTTTTTTCCGACACAACAACCAACAACTAATATAACACAAGAGGTCACTATTATCGGAAGACTAAATGGAAAAAGGAAGAGAAACGAGGACATGAAAAAAAAAAGTTCAGATGTTTACAGATTTAATCTTTTGGTTGTATGGGTTTCACATTATTCTGTATGACTGTTGGCAATAAAACCATGAATGTGTAGAATCTCTGCTTTCTAGTACACACACACACACACACACACACACACACTCTTGTGATGTACATGTACTACAATCTTTTTTGAATAATATAAATGTGTGTGTATGTATGTATGTGTAAATATATATATATATATATATATATATATATATATATATATATATAGTTATTTTTTATATATATACTGTATATATTTTATTATGCCAATATATTTCAAAATCAATCTTTCAAAAAAAATCTTAGCTACCGGTATTTTCATTGAGTCTCCCAAAAAATGTTTATTTTTTTTATGCGATGTGCATGTAACATCTTTAAAACCCATATTTTCTTCGGACAGAAAAGATGTGCATGAGCACATTGTGAAGTTGACGTTTGATTAGTGACCTCTGCAGGCCACATGAGGTAATAACCGCTATTTTTCTCTTCACATGCACGTAACAGTCACATGCCCCTCCAAAGTGTGGCTTCATGCTTTTAAAGTTACTTAATAAAATTAATTTGTTTCAAAATAATAATTTTAAAAAAGCTTATCCTCAAAAATGTCCAGTTTTGAAGGTTACTTTACATCCTTCAACAACCACCAGGAGGCACCCTTGCACCAATAGTCATGGCTTAACATACTAAACTGCTTTCATTCAACCATGATGCTGTTGAGGTGTACAAAGTCTTAATAAATGCAGAACGAGTATAATAAATAAACTGATAGTTTCAAATAGTCGTGACAATAACGCTACATTAGGATTACGATTGTTGTAACATACTGACAGTGGTTCCTTTAGTTGTCACCCATGTAAGGTTGCATTTAAACTGTAGTTCAGGCAAGATCTTGATTTGGCTGTGTACACTGCAATATTACATTCATAGTTGACTTTATTCCACATACGTGTGGGCCTGATTCTAATCTGTGGTTGGCTGATTGTACGCCCATCCCTGTCACTTGATACTTTGGCTTTTGTCCAATGTCTGATATGAATCTGATTCTTTACTGAGGATCTCCAACTTCATAGGCTTTTTTGTTGTTGTTGTTCCTCTCCTGCTTTTATTGTAGATGACTCACTATCTGATCAGTTTACACTGGTTATTCTGATTCATATCAGATTTTTATTTGCATCCAGTTACGGATCAGGGTCGGATCCAAAGAATTGTGATTGTTTTATTTCCATCCCACTCTTTGCTGACTTGCAAAAATACAGTCAGCTCCAAAAGTATCAATTATTTTGTTTTTGTTGTATACTGAAGGCATTTGGGTTTCAGATGAAAAGATGAATATCGGACAGAAGTTCAGGATTCAAGATTTTATCTCATGGTGTTTATATACAGTTGTGTGAAACAACTCAGGACCCACAGAAGCCACCCAATTTTCAAGTGAGCAAAAGTATCGAAACAGTTCTTGTTAAATTAACCTAAAATAAATAACATTGAATATTTGGTGACATAACCCTTCCCCGCAATTAGTGCATTAAGACTGTGACCCACTGACCTCACCAGACTTGCTTTCTTCATTTGAAAAGCTTTTTCCAGTCCTTTAAAGGAGCCCATTTTGATTTTTGCTTGCTCTATTGGTTTAAGATCAGTTGATAGTCTTGCCCAGGCTAAGTAAGATGTTCCACTTGTTCCCCTTGTTGTAGTCCTTTGTTGTGTCAGCAGTGTATCTTGGGGGCATTATCTTGTTTCATGATGACGCTTGTCTCGATTAGTTTGGATGCATTTTTGCTGTAAATTGCCAGACAAAACTTTTTGGGCTTCAGAATTCATTCTGCTGCGACCACCGGGAGTGACATCATCAACGAAGACTTTGAAAGAAGAAATATACAAGCCATACCACAAGATGCAAGCCACACATCAGCAAAAAGAATCAGAAGGCCAGAGGAGTTTGCACAAAAAAAAAAAAAAAAAAAAAGTACAGAGATGAAGTTTCGGAACAAAATGTCTAATGACTAATGAGACCAAGATTATACTCTACCAAAGTGATGGAAAGACCAAACTATGGTGAAAGAAAGGATCTGCTTATGATCTAAAACACACAAGCTAATTTGTGAACCATTCTGGAGATAACGTCATGGCTTGGGCTCGCATGGCTGCTTGTGGAACGGGCTAGTCTTTATTGATGATATAACTCAGGATTTCTGAAGTCTACACGACCGCTTTGTCTGGCAATTTACAAAAAAAAAAAAAAAATGCATCCACACTAAGAAGCTTTGTCAGTTAACAAGACAATGACCCCAAAACACAACAGAAGATTTAATTACGGTAGGTGTAAAAAGTGGGCAGGTCTTCGACTGTCCATGTTGATCACCGGACTTTAACCCAATAGAGCATGCATTTCACTTAAGAGGAGAATGTTGGGAGAAACCTCTAGAAACAAATGAGAATTGAAAGACAGCGAAAGCCTGGAAAATATATTTAACTCATCTAAATATAAGGACCATGAAATAAAAGCTGTCATTGAGAACTTTCATCTGATACTCATGTTTTGATCTGAAACCTAAATGTCATCAGCATACAACAAAAACAAATGATGTGAGCTTTCCAATAATTTTGGAGTAGGTTTTTGGCTTCCAAAGCAGTCGCAAGTGAATTCATATCACCTTGTTATCCGCCGCCGATCCAAATCAGATTTGCATTTGGGGTTCGGAAAGCATTGCATGCGCTCCCCCTGCCCCCCCTCCACCACTTTTCAGTGACTCGCAAAGACCGGCTATATTCGATCGATCCCGTTTACACTGCAGTCACATGAGCAATAGTCACTTTTTAATTTACTAGGACTAAGGCCTGATTCGGATCAGAGTTTTTTTTTTTTTCCAGTGTTCTGATCTGATTGCACGCATATTTCCATCTTTGGTACCCAATGACAGACCATATCAATCCATTTAAACTGCAATCAAATGACTTGAGTACCCACAAAATCAAAACCTAATTCTGAGTGGATCTGAGGATGTCGGATTATGATAGTTTTTTTTTTTTTTTTTTTTTCTGGAGATAGAAATCAGAATTGGGTCATTATCGAAGTGCCCAGAACCAGTTCTGGACTCAGAAAAGGTCAAGTTTGCTACGGTCCCAGATATAGATGATACATTGCTTAGCCTGATTTGGACAGGATGTGCCTCACAGTCAAGGTGTCTTTCAAGGAACTGTATGTCACTGGGTGGGACATAAGTGGAGCCCGCGTTGCGAGGACCGCCCTGTCCTCGCCTCTCACTCGCTCCCGTCATTTTGAAGGAAGTTGTCAGCATCAGCACCACTCGGCCCCACCACCACCGACACTTTCCCAAGTCCAGAGTCCACCTCCATGTCCGGCCCCGCCTGCCTGCTGCCCTGCTGGTTGTGGTTGTTCTGGCTGCTCCATGACTTGCTCCGGCTACGACTAACCTCCAGGCATTGCCTATTCCCGCTGCCCGCTGTTGACATTTTCCCTCGATAACAAAGACAGCAAGCCAAGCCCAGGAAGGCCCGTCTCATCTCGCGGCTGGCCAGCGTGTAGATGACAGGGTTCATGGCTGAGTTGAGAACGGCCAACCCGATGAACCAGTCGGCCTTGTAAAGGATGGGGCAGCGGCGGCGCTGCTCGCACGCCACGTCCACCAGGAGCAGCACGAAGATGGGCGTCCAACAGGCGATGAAAACGCCCACCACGATGATGACGGTGCGCAGCAGCGACATGGCATGCTCTGAATTGCTGTGCTTGCTCACCTTGCGGCTGCTGGACTTGACCAAGATGTAGATGCGGACGTAAAGCACCGATATGGCCAGGAGCAGCACCATGAAGATGGTGATGCAGAAAGCCACGTACTTCTTGGAGTACAGAGGCAGCACGGTGGAGCAGTCCGGGAGGTTGCCCAGGCAGTTCCATCCGAGGATGGGTAGCGCCCCGAAGGAGATGGCGATTAACCAGCATGTGCCGATGAGTAGGAAGACCCTGTAGTTCTTGTTGCCGTCGTAGGGCCTCATTTTGATCATGGTCAGGTGGCGCTCGATGGCGATGGCCAGGAGACTGAAGATGGAGGCGCCCAATGCCACGAACATGCTGCCCTCGCGCACGAACCACAGAACCGGCGACAGGTGCAGGGTCCTTTCGCCGGATAGGAGCAGGTTGACCAGGTAGGCCACACCGGCGAGCATGTCGCACAGCGCCAAGTTGCCGATGAAGAAGTACATGCGGTTGTGGAAGCGTTGGTTCCGCCAGATGGCCACCAGCACCGTCAGGTTCTCCAACACGATGAAGCCGCACACCGCCAGGAACAGGAGGGTCTTCGTGTCCGGGGTGCCCGTCCCGACACCGGCGTCCACGCTGGGCCGGTGGTCCAGCTTGCCCGTGTAGTTGTAGTGCAGGTAGATGTGAGGATCGATCATTTTTGAGTCCGAGGAGTTGAGCGGTCTGCTGCCGTTCCTCTACGGAGAGGACACGCCAGAAGAAGTGATGCTTCCACTCGGATACATTTTCCCACTTCCTGTTTGCTCAATGCATGCAGCGAGCTTTGAAGGTTTGGCGTACGGCCAGACGAAAATGTAAATGAAAAACAGATCGACGTCGTCGAGGAGACTTACCAGGAAGACTTTGGAGGCTTCAGTCGATCCGAATATGAAGTGCAAACATGTCATTTAGATTTAGTTTCACTTGGATTCCCGCAAGTCAAAGTCCTCATAGACAAAGTTCCCCGATTGCTTCTTGCTCTGCACAGCACGCACCATCGTCAGACTTTTTTTTTTTTTTTCTCCCTCCTCCTCCAAACTCAAGAGTTGACGTTGGTGGGCTGGAAGTCACACCCTTCTTCCCTATGCCCTCCCTCCCTCATCCCGCCACTTCCCTCCTCCCTCCTCCCTTTAGTGCATACATTGAGGTTTGCTTTCATTCATCTTGGATATACAGCGCAGTCTACCGCCATGTTTTTTTTTCTGCAATATATGTGTACACGTGTATATCTTTCTTTAAGCTTATACACGGGCCATCTCCCTCCCTCCCTTCCATCCATTCACGTATGGATCATCTATCCAATTAATACATCATCCATCCATCCATCCATCCAGCCGTCTATTTAGGTATCACATATCCATCGGTAGTCCCTCATCCATTATTCATCCATTCATTCATCCATATGTCCATCAAGTGCCCATTAGTCGGTCCCAATCCGTCCCTTTATCTGCTCACTGGTTCATCTGTATTCTTCTTTGCCATCCAGCCATTATTTGTCATCCAACCACAGCTCTGCACATCCCTCCGTTATCCATCCATCATGCGGGCCTCCATCCATGTCTTCTTATCCATCCCGTGGAGGGACCGGAGGCCAGCGGGAGTCTTCGGTGACCCCAGAAACTGAGCTTACACGCAAGTCAAAGCGAGGTGAGTGACAGTCCAACGTACATTAGGACTACTGTAAATAATTAAAATCACACCTGCCTAGATGTATGGAACAATACTGTGTTGACATTTGATTGATCGCATTCAGATCATGTGACACCTTGGTTTTACTCTCTCTCCACAGTCTTTATTTCAGAACTGGATGGATGCTCCTCATTCCAACAGTTAACGTGGACCAACATCTGAACACGTAAGTCTGAATCATATCTAACTTTTTCTTTGTGCTCCGCTGTTTTGTCTTTTATTTTTGCTAGGGATGGTCCTTGACTTCCTGCTCACAGACACACACACACACACACACACACACACACACACACACACACCCCGGGCTACTGGCATACTACCGGCTGTCCATGAGCCATTTTGAGAGAAGGGAGTTACAGGGTGAGCTCATCCGTTGTTTCTGCTCCTCCTGACCTGACCTCATGTGCAGGAAGGATGGGCAGAACCGCAGTCGATGATGATTCAGATGATGCCACGTATAATTAATCAAGGTAAACGAAGTAAAAACAAAACATCGACAAGATTTTATTAAAAATATGCACTCACGCACAATATATGTATATCATAAGTGAGTATACATACACACATACAGATACACCGCTACAAAAAAAAAAACAGACAACCTCCAGTTTGATATATGGCCTTGGTGGAGGTCTGCTGAGCACTGTTGTAGTTCAGCGTTATGTTCTAGAAGTTTCCCAAAACAAAGCTCAGTTTTTTCCCCCCATGTGGGAGCCAATCATGGAATGCTAGAATGCGGTTATGAACCAAGAGGAATGTTTGCGTGCATCATTAGCATTGTGAAGCAGTCACTGGGAATGAGCGAGCAGCATTTTGAGCGCAAATCTGGTAGCGATCATGGAGAGGGATTAACGGGCACGGTTGGGGAAAAATCCAAAGGCTTTTTCAGCAAAAAGACAGCCGTGTGGGGCGCGCATCTGCATTTACATCCACGACCGTCCAAGAATGAAACCATCATCCAGCAGGAAGCCATAATGTGTGGTTGTGTGTATTCATAGACTACCACAGAAGAAGAAGATGGGTGGAGGGCGCTATTTTTTTTCCATTGGGACCACCCTCATTAAAGCGCTGGCATCTTGGGTTCGGGCTTGTCATCTTGGTCGGCAATTAGAGCGCCTCGGCTTTCACCGTCGCTGTCTGTCTCACACGTTAGATTCCCAGTTTGCGCCAATGCTATTTGATGTCGCTCTACAAGCCGCAACCCCATTATTACCAGAGTAGCACCTCCTGGCTCGGCTTCGCTTTGCCGCGACCTCACAGCTGGGAAAACCATTCCCGGACTTTTCCACTCCTCAGCTGCAGCCAGAACTTGATATTGTGTGTGTTGGAGTTTATTTGAGTTGCACAACCGCACTGCGCAGCCAGCGCCGTTGAAGGAGCTGCTCTGCAAAACAGTGCTTAGACATGCATGGGGCGAATTCGATCGTTTGCGCGACGCCCCCAAAGTTGTACATTTTAACCGCAAATTTGGTTTTTCTAAAAAAATTGCAAAACTGTCAGCAAATCTCTGAAAATTTCTTGCCGTCAGCTAAAATGGGGGTATCCATACTACGGCCCAGGGGCCATTTGTATCCCGCCGTACATTTTTCGTGGCCCACAGCAAAAAAACTTTTTACACTATTTGAAGAAAAATGTTGGGTGAATGGAGTGAAAGTGGAAAAAGTGACTGGGGGGCAGGGGGGGCGGTGAAACAAACTTCCCTTATGCTTCAGTGCCCCTGATACTATCCGTCCCTCTATCTACCTGAGCTGCATATCCTTACGAGGGTTGCGGGCATGCTGGAGCCCGTCTTCGGAGATTAGGCGGGGTACACGCTGAACTGGTTACCAGCCAATCGCAGGGCACACATAGACAAAGAGCCATTCACATCTATGGACAACAAAAGAGTGTTCAATTAATCTACATAATGTATGCCTTAGGAATGTGGGAGGAAACCGAAGGACCCGGAGAAAACCTACACAGGCGCGGGGAGTACATGCAGCCTCCACACAAGACGGCCGAAGCCTGGAATCGAACCCATGGACAACTGCACTATAAGGTAAACGTGCTAACCAGTCACCCAGCATGCCCCCCCAAAAAACCGGCCCCCCCCCCCCCCCCGCCGATACTAATAAAGCGGTTTTATAGAGAGCTTTTGGAGATATACAAATATGCAACAAACTTTACAACTAAATTAGTACTACAATTTCTCCCTCTTTATGTGGCTGCGTGAAAAGGAGCTAATATTTGCACATGGTAATTTATTGGCATCAGTATTTCCTCCCAAATGATGGGATGAGCCAACGGGCATGAAAAATTCTTGGCGCTCACCTCACAGGCATGAGTATGTACTTGGATATGAATTATTCAAATGCCGTTAAAAAAAGCACATGCCCTCATACTATATATGTATATATATATATATATATATATATA